TTTTTTATTTTTTTCTTTTAGTTAGCTAGACAACTTTTCCAAAATCCCTTTTTTTGCATAAATTACAAGAGCCGTGTGGCGTAATTATATGCTATATTAGCCTACCGTATTCCTTTAAGGAATATTAAAAGTGGTCGCTAGAGGGCGTTCTCTTGCGAGGAAACTCAGACTCACTTGTTTGTCAACAAAGAGGCCCCTGTTAGTTCACTTCCGTTAGCTGTCAAAGATGGCGGCGGTCCCTTTTTCTGTGTCTTTGCTGTCAACATTCAGCAAAAGGTTCTTGCGACCGGAGCTTACTGCTCTTTGCTCCTACCACAAAAAGGTAACCTACTACTGATCAATTCCTGCTTTTGACTACTACTTTGTGGTACGTGGTTGCCCTAGAAGTCAAAACAGAAGTTTACATGTATGTATAACTTTCCTGAAGGTGGTGGACCATTATGAAAACCCGAGGAACGTTGGTTCTCTGGATAAGAACAAGAGGAACGTGGGGACTGGGCTGGTCGGTGCCCCAGCCTGCGGGGATGTTATGAAACTTCAGGTGAGCTGGAGCTGCACAAATACCGCTGCAATCCTACAGGTATGTCAGTTGATGTTTACCACTGGTGTTGTTTTAGATCCAGGTGGATGAAAACGGCAAGATAGTGGATGCCAAGTTCAAAACCTTTGGTTGCGGATCAGCCATCGCGTCCAGCTCTCTGGCTACAGAGTGGGTGAAGGGGAAGTCGGTAGGAATGGCACTGTCAACACTGTCAACACATCTGTTTGCTTTACTCATTTACATACAGAGGATCTGATCCATCTACTTTCCCCCCATCAGATTGATGAAGCCCTCAAGATTAGGAATACTGACATTGCCAAAGAACTCTGCCTTCCTCCTGTCAAGCTCCATTGTTCTAGTAAGTTGAGTGTTGTTGTGTTTTTTTTTTAATACAAAGGCTTTTAGATAATTCCAAATGAGCTGATGAAATGTTTCATTATGATTTTATGTGATGAATCAACAGAAAGTAGCCCTCAGTTGGGAAGTGGGAGGAATGGTTTTAAATAAATCTGAAAAGTGTGGCATGCATCTGTTTCCATGTTTCACTAAACCAGTACTTTACAGAATCCCTTTTCACTGCAGTTATCTTTACAGCTCTTTAATGCAAGTCTCATTAGGCCTATTAGAGAGCGTCTGTAAACTCATTTCAAATCTTATCCTCATTTGGATTTTGGTGTTCTGTTTCACCTCTGCCTGTTTGTCCATGACTGAGAGGACAAGTTGGGCCTAGCCTGCATCTTTTGACAGGTTTTCTTAGATAATTAATTAATCCCAAAGTGACCTTTTTTTTAGTTAAATGAAAATTTGATAATTAATTAAATTCTAAATGTATTTTTCTTTAGCCATCTTTCCTTCACCTCTAACATGCTTTGCTACATAGACCAGGTGTTTTTTCACTGTTTTTCTCCAACACTCATAGTGTTGACCAAATTTGGACCAGATGACGTTCCTCTAGTCAGTCACTAGATGGCTCAAGGCAAACAGCAAACTAGCAATTACAATTTTGAATCAAGTTAATTACAGGGACTGTAATCAGTTAATCATATTTTATTTTAAAAACATTTATTGACAATAAATAATTATGAGGACAGCAATATATACCATTATAGTATTTAAACCATCTATCAACCATGGGATCTGTTGAAAATCATATTTTTGTTTTTTTCTTTTAGAAACTGCTGATATTTTATATACTCTCTTTAAAAAACTACCTCTATAAGCGTCCATGAGCATTAATTATAGCACAATACCTTGCACTACATAGCTTTTACAAATATATATAGCAAAAAGGCATAAATATTGATTTAAACAGAAGATAAAGTTTCTAACACTGACAGAATGGTGACAGTTCAGGTCTGCATAAATCCTTACCTTTTGGGGCTGAACAGTTGCTATTCAATATGGAGCATTTAGTGCAAAAAAAAAACACTCAAGCTACTTATTTTTTTGTTAAGCCAGTTACTAACACAAATAATTAGACTATTCTTATACAAAAGTGTAAACAAAAATACATTTCGTTTAGAACAGCTCTCTAGACCTGTAATGCATGTAAATAATGCATGCTCCTTGTCCTGGTTCCTTCCTAACTGCCAGCATTAGAATAGCGTTTATTATGGCGGCTGCGGTTCCACTGTAGCTTAGATTGCAGGTATTTGGATCGATCAGTGGTGTTTAGGCTTGAATCTCCCCAGTGGACCAACTGCTGTGATGCAGGTGTACAAGAATGAGCGAGTACAAAGGTTCCCGCTTAGGACTTTAGTATGTATGTAAGAAAATGTATTAAATTCATTTTTTTTAATGCATATAATTGTTTCTAATAAATAAGTTAAAGCCCTTGCTCTAGTTTTAACAGGTAGTTTCTTTACTTGAAAGATCTGTGGTTTATACATCATATGCTAACCTCCTCCTGTAGCTAACCCTGCTCTAAACTTCTGCTGTATCCCTTCAGTCGTCTTAATGCTGCTTGTTTTCCCATGTTACACTGCATTAGAGGCAGAGTCTGTCAAGGAGATAAAGAAAAACAACATGCCGCACTTTTCAGCTCTTATTTGTAGATCTTTACCATTATGGCTGCTTTTTGTTGATCCAATAAAAAACATTGATGTTTGCTGCAATGATGTGGAAAAAACATGAAAAAGTAAAAGGGTGCTACACTTTAAAACACTGTAAATGTATAGAAATAATTCTCTTTATTTCTACTTTCATGAAAGATTATAGAAAATAAATAAAAAATAATATAAATAAAAATAATATAAAAAATCCTTGGGTGGAAAAAGAGTAAACATCTTCACTCCTTGTATGAATAAAACTATAAACAAAGAAATTACAGCCGGATGTCCAAGATCAGTTTTACAGATAAATAAGTCAGCTTCACAGAATAATAAATCCATATCTTCCAGTTGAGTTTTTTCAGCTTGAATTTGATAAAGATCTTTTTAAAACTCTCCTGAGCTTCTAATTAAATCTTTCTTGTTGTCAAAAGGAGTTTATAAATCCAATTTCTAATCCATTTAAACATCTTTTTTTTAATTCAAGCATTACATTCTAAAGTTTACTATCTAATTATGAAATGTCTAAATGCCCTAATATATAAGTTCTCATTTGTGATATATTTAAATAAAAAAAAAAACAATTTATTCCAGATTATCTTGAGGTTTAATTTCAGTTCTTTATATTCATGGTTACAGTGTTTCTAAATCTTGCCCCATTCTTTTTTTTCCTCAGTGCTTGCAGAAGACGCCATCAAAGCAGCTCTATCTGACTACAGACTGAAACAGGAGGATAAGCAATAGGAACCTGCCAAAGCCGGTATTAATACGCTGCTATGTACCTGATTAAATATTTGATTGATATCAAACATCCTCAGCAGAGCTGCATGACGCTGAGGGACTCTGAGCCTTGTTTGCAGATAGCTTTATAAAACCAGTAGCTGCCTCTTGTTCAAGAAGATTGTCAATTTTTCTCCTTTTTTTTTTATTCTTTTGGTTTTCTTTCTCTTTGATGTGTTTTTTTTTTTTTCACTCAGAACAAAAATGAGATCTGTAACGAAACAGGAACAAAAAGGCAGGTGTGCCTTTATCAGATTTGGCTCTAATGATTTATTTGGCTTAAAATTCAACCCATTTGGTTTACATTTCCTATATAATAATTTAAACAATCTTGTTTAAGACTGTTTGCACATGTTGAAATAAACAATTAATCATCTTCCGTGTGTTTGCTGCTTTCATCCAGCGGACCTCTCATTGGCAGGTGCCACTCTCTGCTGCTGTACCAGAACCTTTTTTAGCACAATTAGCACCGCCATCATTATAAGAACCAGCATAACGCACAGCACAGCGAGCAGAGAGACGACCACTGTGGAGTCTCTCTGGTAGAACATCTGTGGGGCTGCAGTAGGCGGGACTTCCTCCCTGAAGGTGGACAGAGCTGATAGTGTCCCTGCAGAAGAGGGTGAAGTGCTTAAGAAATAAGGAGCTGTCCTGTTTTCTCTGCATCTCTGGTCCTCCTCTGGAAAAGATTCAGTTTTTAGCTCAGTTGGGCTGAATGAGTGAGACATATTGAAGGATAAACACTCCTCATAAGTCAAAGTCTCCAGGGAATAGGGTAAAAGTCTAGCCTTGTGGGGATCATGGGGGTTTTGCGTTTTAGTAATGGGGAGTCTCTTTGATATTTCCTTCAAAGGTTCCTCATTGTCTTCATATAAGCCTGGATGTGATGTATCCATGGCCGCTGCATTGTTGAACATGAGCTGGTTTGTCTTCCTGTTTGGCTTCAGGACATGGGGACAGATGGATATGACTGAGAGGTTCAGCAGCAGATGCTGAGCAAGATGGACCGGCTCTTTGCATACCACATCTGTTGCCATCTTCAGCCTGCCGCTCACCAGCCAACGATACAGGTACAAGATGTCACACTGGCAGACCCACAGGTTGTCAGTTAGGTCCACAGACCTGAGGCGTGGTAGGATGTCAAACGTGTTTTCTGGCACCGAGCGCAGACAGTTACTGTTGATCTGCAAGACCTGCAGGTTTATCAGGGCGGAAAGTGAGGGGAGGTCCAGCGAGGCAATGCAGTTTCCTGACAGATCTAAGTCAGTCAGTGAGGGTGGGAGGTTCACAGGCAGGCTGCTGAGCTTGTTCCCCTTCAGTGTCAGAACCTGCAGCTTATTCAGACCCTGCAGGGCTCCGGGCTGAATGGCACGGATTCTGTTGTCCTCCAGATCCAGGCGGGTTAGGTTCCTCAGCTGCCTGAGGGATCCAGAGGTGATATAGGTTATGCGGTTCTCCTGCAGCAGCAGGGACTCCAGGCTGGGAGGCAAGCCGCGGGGGAAGCGGGCCAGCAGGTTGTGGCTGAGGCTGAGCTCCTGCAGACCCGAGAAGGGCCTGAGAAGGTGGTCCACGTTGCAAAGCTGGTTTCTGGCCACAGACAGAGCAGAGGTGCTGAGAGGGACGGAGCGTGGGAGCGACCTGAGACCCAGAGACTCACAGAGGACCAGAAAACCAGGGCCGGGACAGCAGCATCCAGGCGGACAAGGAGACATGGGGAGACAGATGAGGGGACAGACGAAGAGGGCGAGGAGGACGTCACATCTGTAGCAAAGCATGTCTCACTGTAAAGGATGAGGGGGTTAAATCAGACGTGATGAGGCATTTAATAAAACAGCTAACTTGTTAATTGTTTATTGGGAATAATTATTTCATTTTTTTCCCTTTTTAGCTACATTTTAAGTATTATTTAAAGATTAAGGTGAAACATTCAGTTGTAATCTGATAATTGTTATTTTGAACCAAATTAAAAATATATATCTTTTGCTATAACTTAATTTATCCGTTTAACCTAAGTTCTAATTCTGATTTTTATCAATACTGATAATTTATATTTAAGATAAGTCAAAATTTGCTAAATTCCTCAATCATTAATGCATTTATGATAGTTTTATTTTTAGGTTTAGTAGAATTAAAATGTTTAAGCCAAAAATACAAAATTGAAATAAACTAAATATTGTGAAAATTTCTCTTCATCCAGTGCAGAGGTGCAGGTGGTTCTTTGGTTCTGTGGTTCACATACTATGTATAAATTAATAAACTACAGTTTTGTTTTTTTGTTTTGTTTTATTCTTTTTCAGTGCCCACATGAAAACATGCTGGCCCCAGCCTGGCCCCCCCCCCCCTAATAAATTTATTCTGGACCCGCAGCTGATTAGATGAGATCATATGTTTCCCTTCCTCTATCTTTTAAACTCCATCTGATGAATCCTTATAAAACATTTTATCATTCTTTATAATCCATCATAGGTGGCTTTCAAAGAAGCAGGTCTCCTTTAATCATTGCTAAAGTTTTATTTAAGCACAGGTCTCTGATCGGTCGGCCCCTGGTGTCTGTATGATAATAGTCAGACGATCCCTTTCTTATCAATTATTCACTCAAGGAGACAGTGAAAGGAAATGTCCTGTCAGAGTTTTAAAAAAATGCCATCATGAGTAACGTACATTAAACAAAACTTTAGCTACAGTGTAATTGAAAAGGTATTAACACCTCACAAAGCGTTTATTTGCAGATTTTATTTGAGACACACTTAAAATCAGTCAGAATTGTTCATTTTGACTGACTTTAATTGATTATAAATTATTAATCCTTAATCTTGAAAATTCCTATTTCATGTTATTTGGTTATCATAGTAGAAATAATTCATTATCTTTAGATATAGAAGTAACTAGGGTTGATGGAGTGAGTGAAATTAAGTTTTTGGGTGTTATTGATGAAAATATTTCCTGAAAGTTGCATACTAATACCGTAGTATAAATTCAAAAGTAAAAAAAAATAATAATTGCCCTATTATATAAATTAAAGGATTCATTGAAGAGAAGCGACTATATCTATTATATGATTCTTCGTTTGTTTCTATATCGATTGCATCGAAATATGGAGAAATACGTTTAAAACATACCTACTACCAATCTTTGTATCACAAAAAAGGGTTTTTCCTTTCAAAACATGTCAAGCTATTTCAAACTGTTAGTTAGTTGTTAGTTTTTAACAAATAAACACTGCTGCACCACAGTAAATCTATTTAAAATACGTGAAGGTTGGAGCTTGGAGGATGATCAGAGATAAAAAGTTAAAGGACTACAGATGATTTGGAAATTAAGCAGGTCTGACTCTAAAGCTCCGGGTTGAATCCCAGCATTAAGCTACCCTGATGAAGCTATTGTCACCCTGACATTGTCAGTAATGACCTCCTCACTGCAAAAAAAAAAAGACATTTCATCTTTTTACCAAAGGATGGTTTTCAGCAGGCTGACTTTACAACATAGATATGATGCTCCCATGCTTGATCATTAATCCAAACCATAAACCTTTGCAATGAACAATGAATAAGTTACTTTGGCAGCTACAGCTAAAGTAAAAAGCTTTGAAAAGCAAAGCACTAAAAGAAAGTTGTTTTTCAGTCCAGATCTACCCAGTTTTTACAGCTGGATTACCACCAGGACAAAAACTCCAGATTTCCTCACCAGATTGACACATTAAAAAAAATAAAATCTGAAAACTGCAGCTAATAAAATAACATTAAGTTTACTAATGTTGAATCCTTGTTTTTCTGCATCTGCGCAGCAGGGCAGCAGATGTGAAGCCATATCCATCCACCCACTGCAGCCGTGTTTTTCCATCCACTCACGTGTTAATGCTCCTGGTTCTGTTTTACCACTTTCAGATCATGCATTTCATCTATGTGTAGATTTACACAGACACAAAGTGTAGCACATCACCAACTCTTCTCACTTAGCAACTTTGCTTTATATAAATGAATTGAAGTTTAATAAATAAATAACAACATAATTGACTTTGAAACTATTAGCTGACTATTATTGATTCACCAACTAGAACTGATGTGTGTCTTTGAACAACCAGGCAACCCCAACATTGTTTCTTTCATTACGAGCTTTGTATATTTGCATTATTAACAGCTGCTAAAATCTTGCTTAACTTACCATTACCCTGTTTTGGCATTATTTGCTCCTCTGTAGAGATGAGCAGGGGTCTAAGGGATCCTCCGTCTCTAAAGATGACCACAGCTGCTTCAAATTCCAGATGGACTCTCATCAAACTTTCATGACTGCCTTAAGGTGCTCTGTTACCTGTTCTAGATTCTCCTCTCTATCCACATTGATTGAGAGGTGCTATTATTTGTAAACATAAAGACAATCAGTTTTACATAGAAAAAAAATGGCTTCTGTATCTCAGGTGTCCTCTTGGCTGAGGCCTCTGAAGGTGGCTCTCATGAGGAGTGCCTTTAACTGGGAAGGTTTCTCAGAGGTTTCTGTGTTTGTGCGTCTTTCCTGCAACCTGATGGGGAGGAGTGAAAGTGAAGGGGGAGTACTTTCTGGAATAATTTAGCGCTTTGCTGGTTAAAGAGCAGGGAATCTGAGCCGATGGGGAGGTTCTGTCAAGGCTCATGTTTCCAGCCGACCTGGCTGCTTTTGATTGTGTGCTGTCACCTTATTTTTGATCTCTGACATTTTAACCTGGTCATGATTCAGATCAGATTTTTAGTCAGCTTTATTTGATCATTTTCTTTAATAGATGCTAGATTTCATTTGTAGGCAATGATATATATTGCTAAATGAATTTGGCTAAATATAAGTGGAAAGTAGAAACACTTTAACTGGACACATGGGGGCAGTATTTCAGTAGTTCATTAGAAGATGGATGCAAAATGTTTAAAAAAGGCCTGATAATACATAAATCTCAGACTAGGAATTTAAAAAATATCCCTTTAAGCTGATCCAATTCAAGATCATTTATTTAACAGGGTTAAAATTAAGCCAAATGACCCAAAATGCTTCCCTTCCAAAGAGCCTTTGGAAGGGAAGCAGAACCACAGCATCCATGATACTAATCACTTCATAGCCAGCTGGATATTTAAAAACATGTCATAGGAAATCAATTGATATTTTAGTTACATTTTTTTTCAAATTAGATCTGGTAAAATATAACTGGGACAGATACTTGCTTAATTTTTGTACCATATAACTAGTTATTTGGTGGGAATTATTGGTGATGTCAAGATGACACTTTTTGCTAAAGATGGAGTTTATTTACCATCTTCAGTGTGTATTCATGGGTGTTTTTCATATTTACAGTTACTTGAAGTTATTTCTCTAACTGTAGGAAGAAACAAGAGGAGCCAATTTCTTACTCTTTCAGAACAAGGTTAGGCTGAATCGATTGTTTTCTTGGCTTTCCCCTTTGAAAGCTGGTGTGAGCCTCACTGTCACATTGCATTCAAACCCAAGAGGAACAGGAAGTCATGAATCTTACATTTTAACCAAGTGGTAAATCTTCTGGACTCATTTAGCACTTTTCAATCCATCTAAAGGTCCAAAAGACCATTTAAATGAGTTAATTAAACATACTTTAAGTATCATCTATTTATTTAAAGTTTTTTTTATTTTATTTCTAACAATAAAATAAACCATGCAAGTATATCAATAATATCCAGACAGCATTGGAAAAAAAATCCAAATCTAGATAAGTAAACATTTCTTAAATTAAGTGCATTTCTTGAATTGAGGAGGGAAGTGAGATACTTTGCCAATGGAACAAGATAATTTACATTTAAAATAAGAAAAAAAAAAAACAATTGCCTTGTCTTATTTCAAGTGCAAATTATCTTATTTTAAGAGTAAAAATGCTGATTCCATTGGCAGATTATCTTATTCACCTACTCAAATTAAGGGTAAATACACTTAATTTAAGACATTTTTACTTATTTCTAGATTGTTTTTGCAGTGAGGATGCTATTTTTTTTTTTACTATTTCTTTAGCTTGTAACCTTGGTCAATCAGTGTGCCAATGTCTGCAGAGAATCCAACAACTCTTGTTCTGCACCAGTGTAATATATATACCTGATTACATCAACAGAAATAATTAAAGGTCGATGAACAGCAGCCAGTTAGAACAAATGACCCCCTTTCAGGTTAAGAATGACCTCCATTCCACTGCAGCCCTGATTTTAGGGTCAAGGTGTCAGCGAAGCTTGAACTAAAGCTGATCTTTAGTTATATCACAGAGGAACATATATCATGAATCCTTTATTTGCGTAATTACCTTAGAGCCGACTGTGATTCCTGAGTGGATGGAGCTTTAATTACAGATTTTTAGAGGAAGATAATATGCATGTAGAGTGGAAGTCCTGTATTTTAGCAACCATGTTGCTTTTCCTAATTTTATGTCTCCTCAGGGCGGAGTTTATTCAAATTCCACAGCGGCGCATGTAAAAATGACAAAGACACTACCATCCTTTGCTTTATTAAACATTAGCAAAACAAAACTGCCATTCTGTGAAAGGTCCAAGTGTCAAAGAGAAAGCAACATATTAGGAAAACAAGGTGAGGTTCAGAATAAACAGAGTTTTTAACATGATAAAAGCACATAAATTAGGTTAACGGTCGCAAAAATAACAACACATCTATTCAGCTGTCCCCCAACGTAACCTTTTGTCTCATTTTAAATCTTTACATTGAGACCGAAAAGCAGAAGTATGCAGATAAATATGAAATATTAAATCCCGATTTCTACCTATTGTTTACAAATTTATCAGTTATTACAAAAATTTACCAGTGCTGGCAACAATGATAAACATATGAAGGATAAAATAAACAAAATTTATTTATTTTATATATATATATATATATATATATATATATATATATATATATATATATATATATATATATATATATATATATGATAGAGAATAAAATAAAAACATAAAAATTGTACCTATTGTATTTGGTTTCCTGAATTTGGGATTGAAAAAAAACACATTAACATCATACAATATATCAATATATATCATATAATAAGGCTAAAATATAAGTAAAGTTGAAAGCAAATAAAAAAGAATAATATACCTATAACCTATTATCAAGTCAAGTTTTCTTGGAAATTTGTGTTTATTTCCAAAACCAAACAGTTATTTCTTAATGCCTTATCCAGCTATAATGTTCTGAAGAACGCACAGAGGCAATACCTCAAATTTTGGAACCTCTGTGAATGATAAACATCTGCTTGGCTATAATAATTTTTTTAAATCACAGAGTTCTATCAAAACAAATGACACATATATGACTTAAACATGATAGAGAACAAACTGTCATGTGGTTTTATAAAGCAGAATTATGGGAAACAGCAATCTCCCCTACTGTATTTGCAGCACTCTTCATATTTACTGGCAACTCTAGTGACATTGTTCACAAAGCCTTAAACAAATCTAGCTCATGATAGGCTACAATAGCAGCGTCTCACATAAACATTTTTTTAGTTTGATAAAATTTATTCTATGGTAAGAATTACTTACAGGATTAAAGAGGCCATGATATTCATATAATCAGAAAATATATATTTCTATTATTTCTATTTTACTTTTTTATTTTTTTATTTTGATAGTTTGCATGCATTTTAAATGAGTAATCGGAGATCAATTTTCTTTGCCATTCTTCAAAATAGGAAAAGACAAGAGTATAAGCCATTAAAAAGGCAGGAGATGGCTGAAGAAAGCAGCTACACTCTGAGAAAAAAAAAGTAAAACAATTAGAAAAGTTACACATCTTGCTGGATTAAGGTCCGAGTTAGTCTTTTCACCAAGGATAATGTTTTTGCAAACATATTAATTAGGGATACCAATAACTGTAGGGGCCGTTGTTTTCATGCATTAATGCACATTATGCATATAACCATCCAATCCTTTTGCACTACATAATCCTATTATGTTTAGCACATTACATTGTCTTGCTTCTGAAATGTACTATATAAATAGACTTGCCTTTTGCATCCACTTCCCTATCATTGGGGTGCCCCCACTATTTTCACTGATTACTAATTTCACAGCCTTGCCTTTTGCTCCCCTAAATGTGTACTCAAGTTCTGTTTTTTCTCTAATCTTCATAATTAAGCCCTCTGAGATGCTATGGATAAATTACAGACTTGGTCAGTAAGAATGTAAAGAGCTGCTCCCTGTCTTCTGCTCTTTGGGTCTTTCTTATGTTGGATGTTAATTAGATTTTATTTTTCTATAGATTTTTATAGAACCCATAAATGTTTATCCTTCTGAGTGACATTATGACTTGCTTTGCCTGTGTGGATGTGCAGCCTTGCTCGGGTGTTAGTGGTTGGCTTTTTTCAGATGACAGGTGCAAACTGGGTGACTGGAGCTGGTGCTGGGACTGAAGCTCTGCTGAACCTCCTCCCTTTGCTTCACCGGCTCTTTAAACTTCACTTCCTCTCTCCTTTTTTCCACTTCCTCTGTGTCTCTGACCTTCCTGACCTCTTGTCGAGGCGACGACCTGACGTCCCTCCCCTTCTCTCCCACCAGAGCCTTGGAGGGCACACGCAGGTGTTTGGGGGAGGCTGGACCCTGAATGTGGACCCTCTTGACGTGGTCCACAGGATAAGTTTTCTCCTGGGGCTCACTAGAGTTCTTGCGAGCTCCAGTTTTGCCAGCAGTATGCTTCCTGGGAGGGTTAGAAAGGGGCTTGTAAGCTTCCAGCTTGCGCTTATGGCTCATGGCGTACGCACAGCAAATGATGAAAACCAAAACAATAAGAAGAGAGGTGACAACAATGATGATGAGAAGGTTCTCCTGCAGGAAATCCACCACTCGGCTCAGAACAAAGTCTTTTAGGCGGATCATGGTGGTGGTGATGGTGTTGCTGAAGCTGGGAGACTGAGTGGCTGCAGTGACATGAATGGGCGCTCTGGTGGAGAAGGAGGTTGGGAAAATGAGCTCTGGCTCTGCTTCATCGCCACTGCCGTCCATAGATAAGTTGTAGAACAAAGGACTGCAGAGACACTGACTGGAGCAAAGCCAGAGGACAGTCACACAGGAAACAGGAAAAGCAGAGAGGAACTTCATGATGGACCGCTGGTCCTAAAACAACAGCAAGAGCAGGTATTTAAACAAAAAAACATACAACAGTAGGGAATCCCTGTAAAATCAGTTAATTGACTTAATTGAGGAAGCTCTTTAGACAAAAATATTAGTTGTTAGCATAAATTTGTATACAGGTGAGTAAACAATACATTTCTACTGAATGGATAAATTCATTATAATTTTGAAACATAAAAAAGTTTAATAAAGAGAACAAAAAAAGCATGAACAATCTAAATGAACCTAACAAAAACTATATTACTCATTATAGATATCTAAAATGAAACATAGGAAAAACGAAATAGAAATAACTATCTAAAAAGAAAGAGGAGAAAACAATGGTTATTAAAATGCACCTTCATTTTAAACTAATCCCATGCATGCACAGTGATATAAGTTCAGCAGCTCTGGCCCTGCTAAAGGATATAGCAAATAGAACTAATAATTAAAGAGAGTATGTTTTTCTAGAGCGCAAGTTTAGATTACCCAAGGGAATAACTATGGAGGTCTGCTTGGAGCTGATCCCAGCATTTCACAGAGAAACCAGGAGGTGGGAACCTTCAGGGTGTTTATGCTACTTTGCATCATTAGTTAGAGGTGGGAAAGGGTTTAAAGTTTGGTGTCACCTGAGCCAAACTTTAAAGAAATTTGAATGGATGAAAGAATAATGGGCAAAATCCTTACTTACAGTTTCATTTATTCAAAGTATTTTTTTTTTCTTTTTGTTAGCCACACTTATTGATAAAGCTGCACACTCTTTTATGCATTAGTGCATCTGGTCCCTTTTTCTGAATCTATTTGCTTCTTTTCACAATAGGATGTACTCTGGATCAAAGTTATTTCTCCTAAAATAGCCATATAATAGACGATTGTTCTTCATGCTAGGTCTGGTTTTGAGTTCTTTTCTATATAAAAAAAAAATTTGATTGTTCCTCTACACTGTCAAACTTGCTTGCTCTGGATGAATGATTGCTACTGAGTCAACCAATCAATGCAGTTAGCTGGGCTTACATACATAGACAATATAAATCCAAATAATTTGAAAGATCACCTGAATTATACTGTGTTGCATTATAGTTTGGAGGGAATTGTAATTAAGGTGTAGTTATCTGACTATACTGGTGACTGTATTGGGCCGTTAAAAGGGAGTTTTCCTTTCCACTGTCGATACAAGCATGCTTGGTGTGAGGGATTGCTTTCAAGTCAATGAGTCGATGGAATCAGCTGGTTTTCCTTAGATAGAAAACTTTGAACCAATCTGAGTGTATGATCTGGTTGAATTTTCTCTGTAAAGTGACTTTAGATGACGCGTTGCGAATTGGCACTATATAAATAAACTGAATAGAATTGTATTGAACAAAAATGGATTCTATGTAACAACTAGCTAAGTATATTTTAAGAAAGGTTGGGAAATCGATATTTTATAAATAAATCTAATCTGATTTAACTCAACTAAACTGAATAAACAATAACTTATTTGTGCTAGAACATTTGTTTTTACATCAGTTAAACTGTATTAACTGAAGTATTATCCATTAAAGTAACTCAAAACCAGAAAATGACCCGCGTCTTTATGATTGACTGCTTTATGACTGCAGTTTATAAACAGAACTGTCCTTTACCTCCCCTACATTGCACAAGGATTTAGCTTGATAGAAGTAATCTGTACTTTTTCAGAAAAATAGACAAAGGAAATGTCGACAGAAAAACTATTTAAAAAAAAGATGGTGTAATCTTTAATAAACAACATGAAATGATTTTGAAGTAAAAAATAAAGAGAGAAAATATAGACAAAAAAATTGTGTAAGATATTAACTAAAGTAAATATGAAGCATTGGTTCCTGGACTAAACAGCTTTTAGCTGCTGTTTTCCGATCAACACACCTGCAAATAGTTTTTCTTGTTTGAGATGTTTTGATGAGATATTTCTTTGTGTTCGAATGCAGCTGTTTGCAAAGCATCCAAAGTACTGGTTGGGAAAACTCTACCCTCATCTCAGTCCTGGTTTGTCTGTGTTTTCTGCCTCTCCCTGCTTTGCACCAGTTCTATTTCAGCGTAGAGTAGCCATTACTTATCTGGGGTGGAGACAGGGAGTTTGGCCTTATAATTTGTAAAGTAGAGGGAGGCCACCCATCCACCACACCAAAGTCAGGAGGGAGCCATATTCCAGTGGGAGCACAGAGGCGTGGGAGACCTGTGGCTATGGTCTCTATATTTACTCTGGTCACCAGCTGGTGTACACCCACCCAGAGGAGCTCAGACCTGAGGAAGATATTTTTGTTTCCAGGAAAGCCTGCAACTGTGAACATATCAACTGACTGAATAAACTCTCCGGCCAAATGTTTCTTCTCAGTTTTCACTGAAACATCTCTTCCCCGCAAAAAAAGACTCCAGCTAATGAGTCTGCTATTATATAAGCTCTGATTTACTCTTAATACAGAGTATAACTAGAAGGTGCAAAGCTATAAAACAAGCCTCTAATCAGCATCATGCTGCAGTGAAGCTGCTGCAGCTTTGACTGTTCCTACAGAGTGTGGACCCTCCACTTCTTGTGTGGTCAAACATGCAGTGTATATTCCTGCTGGATCACATTGTGGGCTGGGTATTCATCCTTGAATGCACAGCTATACAGGGCCGCTCTTCCCCTCACATCCAGTAATTACTGCTAAAATTACATTTCTAAAATATCTCTGTGCGGCTGAGATTGCCACTAAGTCACTATGTAAGAGTCGAACATGTGGAAGTCAAATCTGGCACTGTTGCTCTTTAGAGCAATGCTCCAGTTTCTCAGCTTTTGTTTCAATGTGTTTCCATTGTCACATTACAACTTAATATTTTTATTCAACCCCTTTTACCTAAACCTAAATATGACGCAATGCAACAGAGTCCTAATACAGAAACCAGTAGATAGAGTTCATCTTTGTGTAATTAAACCAGCGGTCAACAACTTGTGTGCTACATAAATATGGCCTTTAAGGATGAGTTGGGAGAAAGCAGCCATTTAGAAAAGATAAAAAGTTTGCTTCAACCTACTTTGGGAACACAGTAGAGAAGGGGCTGTGGATAAAATGAAATCAGTATTTTACTTTTTAGCCTACATGAGAAACTGGAACTGATCACAGACACAAGCAATCAGCTAGAACAGAGCAGTCTACCATGAAACACTGTGGCAGCTTCATGTTGAGGTGTTGGAACAGTCCAGTCAGTTATTGTGTGTTAAATGAACAGGACATTTGAAATGCTGTCCAGAGGCTCTCTATGGCTGATGTGACTGAGCATGAGCTATTTGCAAAGAGAAATATGCAAAAGTTCAACGCTCAAAACTGGTTGTGACAAATCCCAAAGATGTTCACTGATAATTGCAGAGAAAGGAGCTTCTATAGTATAGGAACAGAGGGGGCAGACAAATGCATGCCACACTTTTCTATTAGTATTTGATGAAAACAATAAACAAATAAAAACTTTGGGAATTTTTCTTTTTGCTTTGTGTTTGTTAATCACATCAAATTCCAATGCTTGTTGCTGTGAGGTGAAAAATTGTGAAAAACAAAAAGTTGTGAATACTTTGTTGAGAAAACCTAAATACCAGGGTCTTACTAGGATTTGAGAAAGATTTAGGGTCAAATATTTTTTAGAAAGTTAGTTATGCGTTGAAGAAAAACAGGTAATAAACCATCACAAAATGCAATTCGTTCGGTAACCTTATTACAGATACACATGTGCCTGAAAAACACAAAAAATACTCCTGAAAGAATCCTGTATAATCACATATAGTAGGTTAGATTTTATTGGAATATAAACACATTATATTTTATGTAAATTTTGGTATCTGGACCAAACAAATATTTAGAATCACAGTTATGTTGCATAAGGTATTAGATGTGTCTCCTTGAAGGATAAAAAGGGTGGCTCGTATAAAAAAATAAGCAAACACGTCAGCATGAACACAGTCTACATGTATGGTCAAATAATACAGTTAAAAGGTGTAAAAATAATTAAAATCATGGTGAAAATATTTCCTTAAAATTGATGGTTGTTATAATAACAATCAACTGTGAATAGCTTATAAACTGAGAAGGTTTATGGTGCAACATATTTCATTTTAATGACATATTTTCATTAAATATTCCTTATTCCCCTTCCTGATGCAATCAGAATGCTACACTACCACAGAGGGAAACAGTATAACTTAATTACTCCTGATTAAAAGTATGCATTTAACATTAAAAATGTAATTATCTTAACTTTATTTTGACTTTTAAATCCCTAGTGGTGAGTTGATTTTAGGGTGAAGGGGTGTTAAATACCTCAGTTGTCTTTTTCCTTCATTTGCCCTCTTTCCTTATTTTGCTGTTAACAATGCTCTTCTATCTGCTTTTAGGAACTACAGTCAGCTTTTCACAACTGCTCATGGATAATTATTGAAATTTCCATTAAATGTCAAATGAGCCAAAAATGATTTCATCAATCAATGCATCCAGGATGTTGTTACAAATTATGTTGGCAAAAAAAAAAAAAATTCGTTTAAAGTCTGCAGATAATTGTCCCAAATTTTAAAGCGAAACTTGTTGAGCTTATAGGCCGTCCTTTCTCAAAGACATGCAAACCTGTTCCTGTTGCTCAGCCCCTTTAAACGCATTACAGTAATATGGTTAAAAAAATCAAAGCTAATGCTGAAGATTTATTCAAAAATACATGTGAGCTATGTGAGCTGCTTTACTAAATGATAACAAACTTAGCTACAGAATAAAATAATAAAAAACAACAAAAATAATATATATTTTTATGACAACATGGGGGACACACTCAATTATGGTTGAAAAGATTGAACAAATATGAAAAACACAAGACAGGAGCTACTTTACAGCCACACATGATCAGAACAATCAGTTTTGCAAGGTCTTTTCTGCAGAGTCCTGTGGTTGACTTTAGTTTTTTTTCCATGTGTTATACAAGGTTTATTGAAAATTTCAAGGTGGGAACTTAAAATGTTCTGCAATACTGAAATGACCAACGATTCAAAGAGCTGCTTTTATAAAACACATCTTACTGAGTTATTTTTCTAAGATCTCTCTAGGTATTTCTGTTTCAACACTTTTACATTACACTGGGCAAAAAAAAGGGAGACAGATGTTCAGCCAGTTGTGTTATAGAAAACACATGTTCAGCCGCTATTCAAAATAACATTTTACTAAATGCATCAAAGCTACATGTGTAAACTAATTTTATATCAGGTTGAAAAGAAAAATGAAAAATTTTGTCGTACATCTTGGCTTTTTCTGATATGTTCAATTGTTAATGTAATGGATTTCACAGATGAAAAACAATGTTGTTTCAAGCTCAAATATATTTCCATCAAACAGCTGACAGATCCGTCCTCTATAGTAAAACAGAGTGAAAACATCAGCTTTTTCAGTTTAGATTTTTTACTAGATTAAAATCTGTCCAGGCCCTATATGCTCTACCCTTCTTAAAGAAATGCTTACTTTGTGATAAGATTATTATCATCCAAATAATATTTAATCACCACAAAGATTACTTATAACAGATGAGACAAAAAACCTTTCTAACAATATTATGTCCACCTTTTGATTCTTTGTGACAAAATAAAGTAGATTTCCTTTTCTTTCTTTCTGTTCATATAATACATTGGGAAACAACATTTCTATATTGTTACATGCCAAACTCTGCTGATTTATTTTCTTAAAGTTTTAAACCATTGCTTCTATTAATAGGGAACTTTTGTTATTTTATTCTTTTATTAAATATAAAGACAGGTGCAACGTCTTTTAAGCTCTGTGGAATATTTAGAAAATCCACAGTATAGGTGAAGGACATTGTTTCTATCAGATGGTTTTAACAAGCAGTTCTAAATGTTTTATAATTCATAATTGTTATAAAAATGTTTTTAAAATCAGTAAGTCAAAAAGCAAAGGTTACAAAAACGCCTCAATTAAAAAAAACCTAAGGAGTGTTTAAAACATTCTTTAAAAATACTGTCATAACGTCACCAATGCTGAGACTGAGTGTCTCATAAGGACAGATGTTGATCGATTAAATATTTTTAGAAAACAAATTTGTGAACAGAAAATGTATAAATCATATTAAAAAAAATAGATAAAAAGCTATTTTATTGCTATTTTTCTCTTTCTATAACACCATGCAGATGACAGGCTTTTAACACTAAAATAATTAATGTTTTATAACATTTTTCCTGAAATTTCATGAGTTATTAGTTTTATTTTGACCCAAAAAAGCAAGAAAAGGCAAATATCAGATCAAAAAAGAACTGTCTGTTAAAGGAAAAATGAATAAATGTTAAATTCATACTTACAGAAGGTCTGTTCCTTGAGCTGTCTGATGGGCAAGCAGATGCAGAGCAGGACTGAGACTAAAGAGAAAAAAAGAAGAGACAGAGCAACTAGAAGGAGAGAGTGAGGATAATTTACTCCTCCCTGCAAAGTTAAACTTAGATTTTTTGCTCAGCTCTAAAATGTTTCCTCGGATCTAATTGATGCCCAGCCTTCTATCCTCAGGGTCTCCTCCCTCCTTCTCAGCTTTCCATCCTCAGCCTCTATTTAACTTTATACAGGAGCCATTTTGGATCTTTGACTTTTAAAAAAAAAAAAAAAGATGTCTCTATTAAATGTGGTTATTGTTTATATTAGCTGGACAAATAATCATCTTAAATGGAAATATTTTAAATTAGGAGTTTATTTCTGCATATTATAAAGGCTTTTTGCAACCCAAAGTTAATGTAGTAATATAACAAAAGGTGCGCAGATCTCATGTTTTAGCGGGAATAGTTATTTCTGGGTTTGTTGGGGTGAGTCTGACCAAACACTACCTGCCTCCCACCAAGTCCTTTCTAATTAAGACTGTGGCGATTACAGCCCATCTCTGAAAGACGGCACATGGGGGGGGGACACCAGTTTCCTCCCAAAAACACACACAACTGAGTGAACATATACATTTTTTGGTGTCCTTATCTCTGAGGGTGGATTTTTTATTTCTTTTAAAACAATTCATGTTTCTTTTTCTCATTATTTCAGGTTTTCATAAATTTAAGGGTCAAGATGATGAGCACTAATTTACCTTAAAACATCTTTAGGTTTAAACCATTAACCATAAACAGAGCTTAGGGATACCAGAATTTTAAATATTAAACAAGACATCGAAAAAAATAGAAGCTGCTCAACTGTTTAAAGTACATCAAATACAAAAAGGATCAGCTGTAAAAAGAATCTTACTTTATTATAAAATCAAAATCTTTAGATATTTTTGCTCCGCACATCTTTCTATAGACGGTGCCACTGTAGTGTGCAGATATACAGGCCTTTTGATTTATCTAATGAACAAATATGACATAAGGTCCAACATAGCTAACGTGCCTAAACTGAAGAGCCTTGGTCGGACAAAATGTATAGCTTAAATAAAAAGACACTCATCATTTCACTCTCTCAGAGTGTATTAAATGATATTTTATTAGAATTTTTGGTCACATAGCAAACCATTGATAATTTTAAACAATACATCTTTAACAAAAGGTGTCAAGATGTTGGAAGTAGCTACTTTAGGTCAATTCTACGTAGGAAACCATCTTTCTTGCTTTCTTTTTTTTTTTTTTTTTTTATAGTGTCCTGTCTGGCAATGTGGCAATAGGAATAATTGTCTTGATGCCAAAAAAGAACCGAACAGCTTTTTCTTTCAAAAGTGTAGCAGTAGTGCTATTGCCATAGTCTTCTGTTTGATTTATGTGTATAAATAGCTTTATTATAAATCATGCAGGGAGTATTACAGATTATTTGGACACTGCAATGTAAGTAGAACAGGAAAGGAATAACAGAAAAAAGGAGAAGATTAAAGAAAGAGGAGCTAAAAGGGAGATAAGAAAAAAAGATCTTCTGTCTGATTCATCGCCTGCAAAGAGATGTAAAAAGAACAGCAAAACCAACGGATATAGTATAAGAGATACAATAAATTAACACCTTGGTACTATCGCTGAAGTATAAGTAGTACTATTTAATCTGACATGTATACTGTGGTAGCTGAAGATAAGAATATGGGCTTGCTGTATGGAAGTGAATCTCTAAGTACCTGGAACCAAGCACCTGCAGTTGTTTGTGAGAGAGCACTTGTGCATGTTAAGTTTCCAAAGAAAAAATGCTCAATAGTGGTTGTGGAGAGCCGAAGAGGCGCCCCCTCCCAGAGCACTAAGGCCAGCGCCGGTGGACTCAAAGCCTCAGACACCCAGACGGACCCCAATCTCGGTCCTCTCAACTTCGGAAATAATTTTTATAATTACGCATTGAATTGGTCGATATGGACCATATAGTTGATTGAAGTATAATATTCTCACCTCAAATGATCATAAAATCCACTTTTATTAAACAACAGCAACAGAAAAGATAACTTTTAAATTTCAATGGAGCACTCTATTGAAAGCTGCTGCTGCCACAGTGCATGCTACTGTTCAATAGTTGTTGCCATCTTCCTTGTTGTGCTTTCTCCAGCGTCGCACAGCTTTGTCGTCACGCCCTCAAAACCCTGCCCGCTTTGCGTCCAAAAATTCAAAATACATCTCTGCGTTGTGATTGGCCTGCCAGTTCTAGAGCCTGGGGCATTGATCAAGGCTAGACCAATTTGCAGGCAAAAATGATTTAGGCCACTGGCGGGTGGGGCTAGTTTACTAGGCTAGGATGACCCAATAAGTGAACCTCAAATCTGGATGGGGGCAGGGGAGCGGTGTCACCACCACTCTAACCCATCTAGTTCCTGCGTTGGGCCTGGCCCCCCACCCCGACCAGACAACCCCCAACAAAAGCTGCCCCCCGGGGACAGGGCCCACATGTCCTGCATAGGCCACCCGACCAGAGCCTTTGTAGTTCTCTCCATCCAGCCTGCCCGTCTCTGCTGAAGAAAACCAAAATCATGATTCTGCTCTATTCGTTTCCAAAAGATGATGCGATGTTCAGGGTGATGATCAATGTTGTTTTTTTTTTTTTTAACCACACTCTCATACATATGCCTCAAAAAGATAAATTAAGTTTTCAACCTACCAGAAAGACTTACAATACATTTTTTTGCTTCCATCAAAATGTATAGCAAACTAAATAGTAAGGTTAACCAGAACATCCTGATACCTGAATGCCCCTCCACTGACCATCGACTTGTTATGGTCTCAGGTCAGTCCTTTAAAGTACCTTAGTATAAATAAATCAGAGGGAAGGAGTATCATCAATTGAAAACTCAAGAAAACATGTCAGTAAAAGTGAAATGAAGGAAGGAAAGGAGGAACATTTTATAGTATTAAAAATATAGCAGGAGAAATGAGAACTGGAAGGAACAGAAAGGATGAAAAAGAAATACCCAGATTTGGAATTACAGGACCTAATTCTGAACTTTCTATTTACAAAAGAGTATTACAAGGAATTAGATAACTGCTGGGAAGAGGAAACAATAGAATATGTTGAGTGTCTGAAACATGGCAATGACAGAGGATTCATTAGAATACAATTTGAAAGTAAACTGCAAATAAGCCTATGGAGAAAAAAGTTTGCAAATTCATATGTAAAATACCCCCAAATTAATAGAATTGAATAATTTAATAGCTTATATACAAATATATACTGATGGCAAATCAAACCTCCATTAACAACAAATGGGGGAGGTAATGCAAGCTTTTATGCAAACCCCCAATAACTAGGGGATAAAGAAGAGGAGGCCCATGAGGAGAGGATACAGAAAAGTGCAGTCGTGTTGCTTTAGGATTATCTGCAAATTACATACACACCTTATCTCCTTTGTGGTTAATAACTTGAATATCTAAGTTGTAGAGTAACAATTGCCAATGACTGAAAAACAAATGTATTCTTTGTTGAAATGTTCACTGGTTTTCTGCAAACTGTTTGACTGTTTGCTGAAATGTATTTTCTGCAAACAGTGAAATGTGTCANTATTATTACCCATAGCTCACACGACCACAACCATAGCAAGAAAATATGTATGCATCCATATACACTACTCAAAAATTAAAGGAACACTGTAATCAGAGTATAGCATCAAGTTAATTAAACTTCTGGGATATTGATTTGGTCAGGTGAGTAGCAGAGGGGGTTGTTAATCAGTTTTAGCTGCTTTGGTGGTAATTAAATTAACAACAGGTGCACTAGGGGGGCAACAACGAGACGACCATCAAAACAGTAATGGTTTTACAGGTGGAGGCCACTGACATTTTTTCACCTCCTCATCCTTTCTGATTCTTTTTCACCAGTTTTGCATTTGGCTAGGGTCACTGTCACTACTGTTAGCAGGAGGCGCTACCCGGACCCTACAGAGGTTGCACAGGCAGTCCAACTTGTCCAGGATGGCACATCAATACGTGCCAGAAGGTTTCCTGTGACTCCCAGCAAAATCTCAAGAGCATGGAGGAGATTCCAGGATAGGCAGTTACTCCAGGAGAGCTGAACAGGGCCGTAGAAGGTTACAACCCATCAGCAGGACCGGTATCTGCTCCTTTGTGCAAGGAGGTGCAGGAGGAGCATTGCCAGAGCCCTACAAAGTGACCTCCAGCAGGTCACTGGTGTGAATGTCTCTGACCAAACAATCAGAAACAGACTTCACAAGGTTGGCCTGAGGGCCCGACGTCCTCTAGTGGGCCCTGCACTCACTGCCCGGCACCGTATAGCTTGACTGGCATTTGCCACAGAACACTGGAATTGGCAAGTTCGCAACTGGTGCCCTGTGCTTTTCACAGATGAGAGCAGGGTCACCCTGAGCATATGTGAAGGACGTGAAAGGGTCTGGAGAAGCCTCGGAAAACGTTAGGCTGACTGTAACATCATTCAGTATGACTGGTTTGGTGGACGGTCAATGATGGTCTGGGGAGGCATTTCAATGGGACACACCGACCTATACAGGCGAGACAACGGCATCCTATGCTGGAGTATATACCCCAGGACCCCATCCGTCATCTCATTAGGAGCATGCCACGACATTGTGAGGCATGCATACACGCACGTTGGGGCCATACAAATGACTGAATACCATTTTGAGATGCAATGAAATTTCAGCAAAATGGACTAGCCTGCCGCATCATTTTTTCACTACTTTTTGGGGTGTCGTTAAATTCAGCCCTCTGTAGGTTGACAATTTTCATTTCCATCAAATGATGTGGCATCCTTTTGTTCCTAACACATCACCCACTCCATATCAGCATAAATAAACATTATTTTTTGCCCAATTGAGATCTGATGTATTTTCAAAGTGTTCCTTTAATTTTTTTGAGCAGTGTATATAACGAAGTTTAAAATGACACATTGTGATTTCTGGATAATTTTTTTTAGATCATGTCAAAGTGGACATGCATCTGCGATGACAATTTCAGGCCCTCCATCAGTTCTAAGTAGGAGAACTTGCAAAATAGTGTTTTCAAATACATATTTTCAATCAATGTATGTGTATATATCTATAAATGTATAATTTTGTGTTCTGCATAGTTTGCATGTTCTCTGTATGGAAAATGCAAACTATACATTTTCAACCAGTTCAGGTTTTATATATAAGAGCTTTAGACTTTCTCTACATTTAATTAAATTTTGTTCTTCATAACTCTCTTCCAGTAGGCTGTTGTCCTACTTTGACATGTATCATCCATGTACATGTCTGTCGCATAATGACGTCCATAAGGCTAAACACTGTCTGGATTCAGCACAACAGTCCTCAGCACCTTTCCTTGACCCTGGATAGTCTTCTTACTGATGACCCTGTAAAACCTTAAAGGATAGAAGCTTGGAGCGACAATTTGAATTATACTGAATCAGCCCATGTGTAGATGAATTGTCCCCCTGGTGGATAATAGCTGTAATAAAATGTCCAGCAAGAAATGTAAGCCTTGTCCTACTGAGCTAATTCCACTAAAATATAAACAGCAGTCAAAAATACATGATTCAAAAACAATGACAAGGCTCATTTTAAAAATTCTTTATTAATTTTCTTATAATCAATGTCCAATATTTGAAGCAAGGATTATGAACAAAAAGAAGCTGAGCAGACCTCACCGAGGCTTTAATCCTGGTTGGTTCTTGTCTGATCTAGTTTCTCGATTCTCGTATGCAATGGAGGTTCTGCTTTTTTGATATGGTGGTATGGCAAGGTACAAGGGACACAAACAAGGGGGGGGAGGGGACGTTTAAAACCCATCACCCATACAAACACCCTCTTCAGCACATCCACAAAAAAACAAATAAAACCCCAAATGATTCCTGATCATATTTACACAGCTTTCACTCATTTTCCTAATCCCCAATTACAAACATACACCTATCTTCCAGCGCCACTTCCACCTATAGTGTCCCTTTAAATTGCTGTTAGATACTAAAGTTCTTGTGCCAACCATGTAATTAAATCTACAAGGTGGCAGCCTCATTAGATATCCTGTTAATGCACAACACTCTGCTCAAAGTGCACCTTGATGGCCACTGACTTCTAAGGCCATGTTACAGCCGGTAAATTCTTGGCTTGAAATCAGTTTAAAAAGCGATTTTTATACCCGTACCAAGAATAAAAATGTCAGCATGTCAGTGGCTCAATGCTTGGATTAGACAGAGCGATAATGCTGCCTGGTGTAAGCGTCAGAATGACTGGCAGGACTTCATGGAGTCATCCAGCTTGGTGACAAACAGCACTTTAGGAACAGGGTGTGAGTATAAAGTATAGCACCTAAAAGTGGCTTTAAATCCAGGCACCTTTCAAACCCTCCATTCGCTACACATCCTCCAGCACACTTTCAGGGTTCCTCTATGGCACTTTCAGGTCTGTACAGTGTTGACTAACGAAGGCAAACAACAGACTGAACCATTAATTCATCTCAGCTTCCCACAGGGAAACAAATCTAAAACCTCACGGGAACAAAAAAGAAAAAAAAGATAGAGCTTCTGTTGGAGCACGACAACAACTCCAGTGAGACAACCCAATGGTTCTGGAATCTGGAACAACTACACTGATTTAGAAAGTCTCAGGATCTAAAAGTGGAAGTGCTGAGAGGGATACAAGCACAGCTGGAACAAGAAACGGGATAAAAAAAGAAAAGAAAAAAAAGGTAAGTGGTGTCTGAACGGTTCTGTTTTCCTTAATCTTAGGCAGGTCTTGAACCATCGTTATAGCTTGAACTGATAACAAAGCAGAAATATTCAAACTGACACTAAGGAGCTCAAAGACACGAGGCATGTGCTTCTTCTCAGGCTTATAACTTCCATCATCAACAGCTTCTTTCATAATATACAGCTTTATCATAAGAGGCTCTAAAATAATCAAATCAGTGTGTTATTTGATGGCATTTCATCTGTACTGAACACACAGATTTGGGTTTACGGATAAACAAAAAAGTGAGGAAAATACCACCCCCCCTCCACGAAAAAAAAAACAAAAATTACTAGAACCAACTACACATGGGTTTAGCAAGACCATTTACAACAAACTCTGACTTTGGAAGCTCAGATTCCTGCGGGGAAAAAACCATGATGGAAACAAAAATGCTCAGGTTGTTCTTCCCATGTGAGGCACACAATGCAAAAACTGAGCGGCCAGCATCAGAGTCCCTACAGCAGACTGATTACAGAGAGAGGAAGCTGGAGGGTTTTTCTTGGTCCTTTCTTGAAAAGTCAATAAGATCAGTGGAATGTCCTTTTCTGCAATAATTTCAGAGAGCGTGTTCAGGTATCAAAGGGAAAAGGTATGCATCTCCACAAATAGTTTTTTGTGCCGAGTTAAGAAAAAGCACAAGGAAGGAATGGATTCGTTCAGATTCAACTAATAAAAACCTTTGTGATTTGGAAGATTGTCTAGAGATTGTTCAGTGTTGATGGGAAAACTGGAATGTATTTTCTTTGAACACACCTGACATGTCTGTCATGGTTTTTACTGAGGTTACTTTACCTGTAGTTTTTTATAGAAGTGAAATGATTAAATTCTCCTCTTTATATAAACAGTCTACTTCACCAAGCTTCACTGTTTGTGTTTGAAACAGTCTCACAGAAAAACAAAACAAAAATACTGTTCAGGAGGCGTAAACAATTTAAATTTGGCAACATTTTTGCTTTGTGACGTGCTAAGATGAAACACTGGCACCTACTTAAACATGTATAGACATTAGAGAAAACTGGAACTGTTTTGGTCAGTCAGAAATTGGACGAATTAAGACCTTTTTTTAATATAACTAGGTGAAATAAAAGACTGACAGAATAAAAGGAATGTTCTTTGATGCCAAAAAACAAAAATATTTTCTGCTAAATTAACCAATTCCTTCTTATTCCACCTGTGTTTAACTGAGGGTTGGGATTTTGTAAAGAAAAAGTTCATCTGGAATGTTGCTGGGGATTGTTGGTTGCCAGGACCAAACGCTGTCAGAAACAGACGATTGTTGTTCCCGCTTACCCCTCAGCTAAAGGAATGTCCTGGATTGTAATGGTATTGGGGAGTGGGCTGGGGGGGGGGGATAAAGGGTCCTTAAATGGCAACTTTGGACATCTGTTCTTCAAGTTTGATGATTCGCTTCTCCTGACTGCTGATCAGGTCCTTGAGGGATTTGATTTCTTTCAAGATCTCCTCCATCTTTGCTTCAGATTTCTGTGAAGGATGAGAGACAGGTGAGACACTTAGCATCTGTTTAATTGAAAACAGTGACATAATAGACCTACTGACAGTTTATTTATTTTTTTTGGCTGAAAACGATTCCAACTTCCCTAGGAGTCTTTTATGAAAATGTGATTTTATTTTCTAAGGATTAGATCATGTAAATGACATCAGTTCTATGATAGATGTAGTAGTTTTGTATGTAATCTGTGTTAGACTTTCATTTAATTTGTAGTAGGTGGCCCCAGACCTGTAGATGCTCTTAAGTACATTTATAGAAGAGAAAGAGCTGCAGAGGAAAAATGTCTAGTTCCAATACTGCATTTGTAATGGTCAGAGTTATACCATACACAATAATACATTAAAGTACAGTAATGGTATATTAGAGCAGTTTAAACTGGCTTGGGTTTCAATAACATGGAACCCACTGCCAGGGTATCGCTTCACTTTTAACCCTAGTCCAGATTGTCTTTTATTCAGCTGAATTTCTGTAGACAATCATAGTGTAGGGCGGACAATTCAACTTCAAGAATCCGATTTGCATCTCATTCTTAAAAAAGATGCCCTAATATAATGAAATTAATTCATCAAGTGTATGTGGACATGCTACAATCAGCAGATCTTTGGTGTGAACAATACCAGAGCATTGAACATGATGGCAAAATGCAGCAATTAGATAAACCTTAGTAAAAGATCCGCATTGTTTAAAGCTACAGTGTGTAATAATGTCAGGGATTTACTGACAAACTTTATATATCACAGATAAATATGTTATTTATTATAATATATATGAACTGAAAGTCTGAGTGGTGCTCTCTGTGCTCTCTCATACTCTATGTGCTGCTTAAGAAATAGCCTTTTATAATTACAAAGGAGCGAGTTGTGTTTGTATGGAAACATATCTTTACATGGCAGCACAAAGCTGACAAACTAGTGACTATATACATTACACACGAATGGGACTATGGCAAGTAAGGCCTTTATAGAATATTTATCCTACACAGAGTAATAAAACACCATTTATAAAATCCTCTATCTAAACCACTTTTTCTGTGCTTGGTACATGGTTGTTTTGGTCAGAGTGTCCAAAACAGGGGGACGAATCCCCTGGACAGCAGAGGTAAGGTGAGCAATGTGAGCTCAGACAGCAGCAGTGGAAAATGATTGCGAGAACAAACAGCTTGATTTCCCACGCAAAAACATTCCTAATGCTGATAACCCTAACCGGGATGAAGCGAGCCAGATTTATTGTGAGGCTGATAAAAGTTGTTATACAATACTTACAATTGATGGAGTTGAAGAAGCAGACTTGTTGGCAGGGCTGGAGTTCTCCGCGTTCTTGTTGACCTTGCTGTCCAGAATGTTCTTCTTGACCACTTTGAACTCTCGGTTCTTGCCAGGGACATAGCCGTTCTTTAGGGATATGAGGATTGGGTCTCCATTCTTCCCCTCGAACCATTCCTCTGCCTCCAGGGCAGGGTCTGGTCCTGCTGTGTCTGGGTACAAGTCGTCCTGGAACAGGTCCGACTAACAAGGAACGAAAAATATATTTAAAAAAAACACTTTCTTTAACAAGACCAGCAAAAAAGAAATCGGGGGGTGGGTGGTTGACTGCATTGTATATATAAGACTGTTTTCTCAGTCATCACCTAGGTTGTGACTCACCTTTCTTGGTACAGTCATTACAATAGGCTCACACTTTCTTTCATGCAGTTTATAGAACCTAAAAACACACAAAAATCATTTGGTTTACTCATAGTGTGGTGCATTACATTAAAAAACAGAACGTTAAATTATGTCCATTAATATGACTTTACTGCCTCCTAGTGGTCAAATGCTTACCTTGCAATTTCACACTTATTGACATCAAGGCCTCTCTTGGGCATGTAGCCCATACCCCTCTGAGGCTCCTTGGTGACAAAGGTGTTGAGGAAGTGAACGTATGGAGCCTCATCTGTGATCTCAAAGTAACGAATGCTGCTGTCCCCCTGCAGAGAAAAAAGCTGAGTGTTTATTTCTGCTGCTAAAAAGTTTCAAACAATGTCCGGCTTTTTTGGCAGAAAAGAAAAATCACCTTCCCACAGAGGTAAACAACATTGGTGTCTGGATCATAGAAGGGCAGCAGTACTCCATTGCTCGTGTCCATCTCATTGACAGTCATTGGCTCCTCCATGTTTTGCTGCAGGAATGGAAGAGAGAAAAAAAAAAAAAAATCAAATCAGGGCTTCACAGAAAATGTTATAGGTTTTTTTGAGTGCTGAGTCACATCTAAGACCAATAGATGTGACAATGTATGTAACAAAGAGAGTAAAAGTAATAGTAAATGACCTAGTGGGGAGAAGTCAGCACATCTGAATCGACTCACCGTGTTCCAGAGAGCCAGCTGTCTCTCACTCATGCGGCTGAAGCCGGTGGTGAGGATGTTGCCATCAGACAGGAAAATGGCTCTCATGGGTCGAGCACCCTCATGCGCCTTCTCCTTTTCCTGTGAAGCATGAATCAGAGGCTCATGATCTTCATCACCTCTCATGAGTTTGCTTTGATATCTGCCACATGTTCAGAGCGAGCTCCAGAGAAAAGTTTTTCCACACATTTATATTTTTTTAATCCCTTCTTTCCAGACTTAAATGTCAGGGACGCTTGCTTGCTCTCTTGACTATAACTCGATAAAAAATGTTTATTTTCTTACCATTGTTTTAGCATCAACTCAAAGACACAGAAATGCAAAAGTTGTAATACAGAAGATTAAGCAGTAGAGCAAATGAAGCAACACTATATGAATTTCTCGAAAGCCAGATGATAATAGAATGGAAACATTTTCTCTTTGTTATTTGTCTAAGCTTTGTCAGAATTATAAATCGCTGCATTTAAAATTAAACCAGTCAAAGACTGTACTCAAGGAAACTTCTGACTTATTTTTGAACAATAGATTTAAAGATTTAACAGCTAAATAGTGACATTTAAAATGGAACAAACTGTACAATGAAGACAACCAGTGTGAGAATGTGCTGCATGTGCAGTAAATTTGAGTTTCGATGTCCTTTTACGACTTGTTTGTCATGTGTTTTTACTTCCCAAAATGTATTTATTTGTTCTTGCTCAACATCCTCTTGTTTGCAAGGATCAGACATCTTGTTTAAACATAATTGTGCAGGAAAAAAAGGATCTATTCTTCATCATAGTCTTTAAAAACCACCCAATTGTATTGCAGCCAAACTAAAATTCATTTCAAACTAATTCAGTGTACAAAAACAAAAATCTGTTGGGGAAAAACATATTTGAAAAGGCCTTACGGCAACAATGGTCTCCTTGCGGGGATCAATGACACGGATTGCCTTATCCTTGCAGGAGGTACAGATAAGGCTACCATTGCGGTTCCAGCTAACATTATAAATGACATCTGGATGCATGTCCTCCAAGGAGATCATAGCCTCTCCTGTGCCCACATTCCAGATGATTATCTGGTTGTCACAACCTGGAGAGAGACGAAATCCATTAGACAACATATACTGTTGATTTATTGCGTCAGCATCGTTATTCAATTTGAACTCTACAGTGATTGAACCTTTAAAGATCTACGGGAAAGCCAGGGCTCTTACCGGCACTAAGAAGGACGTTACGTGCTGTTGGATGCCACGTGATGATTCCCACACGCTTTGAGTGGCCTTCCAGAACCACCACTGGTTCAGACATCGATGACACAAGGCCATTCTCAGGAATCTGCCATACCTACACAGGACAAGCATATGTATGACTAAGTAGAGAAACACACCTACCAGGAATCATACCATTTAAATATGTCTTTAACTATAAGCTTCATCAAAAAGGAAAGTTTTAAGCCTACCCTTAAAAGTAGACAGGGTGTCTGCCTCACAGACATAAACCTAACATGTTAGAGTGGCACAGGTTATCCTGAGCTATCTCTATAGTTATGTTGCTTTATGCTTAGATTTCTGGAGGACATAGGGGCCCTAATTCATCATTCTGTCTCCATTCTGCAGAATCTGTTAGTTTAATCTCTAACATTATGCTCTCTCTGCCTTTTCTCATAGTAGCTTCACCTCATCTGTTCCTGTTTGGCTTTGGCAACACCCTGGAGAGACATATCATCTGCCATCAACAACTTTTTTTATAGATGTTGGAGATCAGCCTGTTTTTTCCAGTGTAGCCCTGTTTCTCTGACTGTGACTAGCTGGATGTGCCCTCTTCATCCTCTGACATTGGAGTTGGCTCAGAGCTCGTCTGCCTGGCTGTGTGTTTCCTGGATGAGGCCGCCTTTTATAGTTGCTGTTTGTATCCCTGCTTCTGTCTCCTTGAACCCCAGTCGGCCTCGGCAGATGGCCACTCACACCGAGCCTGGTTCTGCTGGAGGTTTCTTTCTGTTGAAAAGGGAGTTTTTCTTCTCCACTGTGGCTACAAGCACGGCTAGTGTGAGGAATGGTATCCGAGTCAATGAGTCGATGCAATCAACTGGTTATCCTTAGAAAACTTTGAATCATTTTGATTGTATGATCTGGAGAACGGTTAAGTGCCTTGAGATGACATGTGGTGTGAATTGGCACTAGGGGTGGAACGGTTCACAAAATCCACGGTTCGGTTCGATTCACGGTTTCGTGGTCACGGTTTCCGGTTCGATTCAGTATATGTTGATTGTTACACCGAAATCCCATAAAAATTGATGAAATGAATGAAAAAATCCCCCAAAAATAATAGATTGTAATTATTTTAAATGATCCGCGGAAACCCTGGATCATATCCGTATGTTTTGCTGCTTTGAATTTAATACTTTTGCGCATGCTCTCTACCATCTCCAAGGGACTCAGAGCGGAGCGGACGGAGGGAGCCACAGTGGAGGCCGTAGGCTTTGCTTTGAGCAGCCGGTCTGGAGCGCAGCAGGGGTTGCTGAC